ATGTCAGCTCCTGGCTCGTGGGCCAGACATTCTTCGATCAGTGAATCACTGATGCTCCAATCCTTGATGAAACGGACATGATGGCTAGCTAGGTACCATGTCATCGACCAGCGGCATCGATAAGACCATGGATTCCCAGCGATCAAAATTATTTCCAGATTCTTTAGTTTCTTCAGCATTTCCGGTGATAAACAGTTGTTCAAATTGTTATATGCTATGTCCCAGACTTGCAACTGCGGCAACAGATCATAAATTTTAGGATCCACGTCAACGATACGATTCTGCCAGAGGATCAACGACTTTAGATTCGACAATCCTCGGATCCACGAGGCGTCGATCTTTCGAATTTTATTGTTCACCAAACCAAGCAGTTGCAGTTTCGTCAGGCCTCTGAACGCATCGGGCTCTATCTCTTCTATTCCACATCCGGTTATATTTAACTCTATCAATGACTCAGAGTATTTCAAGAACGAGTCCGTTTTTATTTTACTGATATTTGAATTTATAATATTGATCCCCTTTGCAGTGGGTGGTATCTGTAACTATTTATTCAATATTCTTAACTATAAATCCAGTATATTTGTAGGTAATACTTCTTGAATTGATCGCATTTTAATTGGATTCCAGTGGACTCTTACGATATTGCCACTAGGCATATTGCCACGTGAGGCACTTCCCCTCCACACGTACTTTCACGCACACAAATTCGCTCTCCCACAACGTTGCGGACGCCATCCACAACAGCGCGATCCAGTTTTTGAGAGAACTTAGCACGGAAAGTACTCTGGAGTCATTGCCATTTTATTCCTCTACAGCTTCGTCCATGGCAATATCGTAAGAGTCCACTGTACTTACTATGTAATTGGTAATATAATGTCAAAAAACCTCACAATACAAAATTTAAATTCCGTAGGTGCTTCAACAAACTACTAAAAACTTTATCGGAATCAAGTCTTTTCTTAAATAGTACAAATCTAGTAGAGTTTTTGGCATTTAAATTGCAGGTACTATAAACTCAATAAAGCCTTACTACAAAGCTGTTTTCTGTACTTTCAGGAAACTTTCTGTTAATACAATAACAATTTTATTGTACAAAAATTTCATAATCATGGCCTTCAAACATTTTTTCTATTAATTTTTGCAGCCCCCTCTGTACAACCTGGAGGAAAATATCGAACAAGAACAAAACAATGAAAATCAAATCCAAACTTACGTTTTTTAAGTCGTTCAGACTCTCACACTCGTAACAATCTTCCCGGTCATGTAACGCTAGACGACAGCTTGCAAAGCAAGAGGCTACAAACGCCACAAAGACGATCGATCCCAGCAAAGCTCTCATCTTGCTCAAAATGTGAACAGCGACTATATCCTATCACCACAAGACTCGCCTTTTATACTCATTCAGATCGACTGCAACGAGGACGTTAATGTCACGGCCACCGTCAAGGAAAATATAAAGCGGGCAAGTACTATCGGTTAAGAACAAGACGGTCTCTGACATTGTAAACACAGCGGATGTATCATGCAATGCGTACCAAACGCAAGCACCGGTATAATAAAACGGTTGTCCGCGGATGGCCAAAGACTTCGCCTCTGGTTTACCTTGTGGGTGAATTTCTTTTAATGTACGGTCAATGAATGCTCTTCCCAAAAGGAACTTGTGACGTACGACTTCGAAGGCCATATTAAATTTACCGAATTAATGCAAATATTAAATGTAACGAATATATATTTATTTAATTGTGAGAACACAAATTATAGAAATAATGCTCCTTAAGAAATGTTTGAGTCAGATGAAAGTTATGACGATTTTTTTTATGGATTGTGAGAGAAAATAGTACTATATGTACCATTGTTCAAAAATAGTTGACCGACCGATACAATAAAAATTACGTTCGTTAATTTAAGTAGGATTCGACTTCTTTAATGTACATATTATTATGTAATTTTATTTTATATTCACCCTATTACGAATTCTTCTGCAGAATTTCCTTGTGCTTTCACGAATTTCGAACTGTCTGAAGAATTTTGAGATCTCTGAAGATTGGATCATGGAATAATACAATAACTCACACATTTGTTCACATATGTACTTCCGAAACAACAATTAAGTATTAGGATCGTGATACAATCATTGTTTATGCATCCTCATTATCTGTAGTTTTACCATCATTTTGTAAAGTATTTCCCTTAATTGTAAACTAAAATTTCCAGAGTGGTAGGTAGTTTGGTGAAATAACTGTGACACCTTCCCGTGCACTAATTTGTTAATCACTGTATTTTCACCCCCCAAAATCAAAAACATTTTATTTTATACAGCGCTGTAAGCCTGCTTAAAGTTTTCGATAGTAATTTTACGTTTATGTAGGAACAAAGTAATACTACTAATAATTTCAGATTTCCATTAACTAATTTATGGAAATTCGACCTTTGGAGTACGTTGACGGGGCCTATTTAGACCCGAGTGTTTAAAAACTGTATCTATCCAATCGATTTGTAAATATAATTTAAGCTAGGAATTGTTCGTATTTAGTCGTATAAAAAATACAGGTGTTTTCTAATGATTGCGTTCGAAAGTATGTTTAAAAAGAAGGATGCATAGGGTTTCAAAGGGATCTAGATACCATCTCTGCGAACATTAAAAACGTCCGTACTCCCAGGATGAAGGATATTTGTATAATACTTGGTTATCAATAAGGTAATCAGTTTATTAAATTGTATGAAAATTCTTCTTTTATTGTAGTTTACATATTCCTGTATGTAATAAATGCACAGGAATTCGCGATTTCGTCGTAAGAAGCAAGCAATAAAATGTGTGCAATTACATTTTCGTTTTTTTTAAGATATCGATTTCAGCTTCGAGATGAGAGACTTTATTCGTCAAAATGCGAACTTGTTCGTTTAAACTACCGACGTCATTCGGTAAAGTATCGGA